TGCCCCTGCCCGGATGGGGATTGCTGCTGAAGCCGGCACTGGGAATGCTTCTGAACGCGTGGCCGCCTCGGCCTCTTACCGCGCTCTGCCGCTTGCACTGCAGGCTTGGGAACCGAGTCCTGGAGAAGGCAGAACGGCGTGGGGTTGTTCCAGCACCGGGCTTGGCTCTCCCGGGCCTTGCTGGCAGCGAGAGGAGATGGGTGATGAGTCTGCGGGGGTTCCTTGGCTTTAATAGAGCCGAGCGTTTGGAAGGCACTTGTGTTCCGCTCCTCTTCGTCCATTGTTGTGCTTGCGCGCCCCCCCCCCCGAGGAAGGGCAGTGGGGCGTTGGGTGCGGAGGTACTGCCGGGGCGTGGAATCACAGAGCTCCGTGCCGCTTCTCTGTACGTCTCATTGTGGCTTCTTCCTGTGCTCAGGACGTGAACCGAGAACTCATGAGTCAGCAAGAAGCATCTGCTGAGAAACAGCAGCAGCCTCCTCCCGAGATGTTTGACTTCAAGATTAAATTTGCAGAGACAAAAGCCCATGCTAAGGTAGGGGGGCAAGAGCGCCGCGCACCAGGCGTGTGAACCCAACGGGGCGCCTTCCTTCCTGCGTGCGGGGCTCCTCAGGCGGCGGCACCGGCGTGTGGGTGCCAGGTGGGGCGGGTATTCCCTGCACGGTGGGGCTGACCCTGGGGCAGGGTCTCTGCTAAGAGAAACACCGAAGTTCGAATGCTGCTGTGCAAAAGGGATGTTTTGTTGTGAGAGAACGTGCTCGGAGCTGACAGCGTAAGCGTTCCTTATCACCCTGCGAAGGCTGGCTGCAAAGAAAGGATTCTCGTGGGCACGGATAGTGGCGTGCCCTGTGCCCGGGTTGGACTGGAGCCCCACACCGGCCCCGGGGCACCTCTGCAGAGCACGGGTTGGTGATAACGAGAAATGTCTCCCGTGACAGCCCGGGAGCGAGGCGTTAGCTGTGTCCCAGGAGGAAAGGGGATCCGAGCTGTTGAACTACCGGACGGGCTGGGACGCACGGGGCTGGGGAGGGGACCGGGCGGGCTGCCTTGACCGCGCGTCTCCCGCAGGCCATCGAGATGGAGCTGCGGCAGATGGAGGTGCAGCAGGCCAACCGGCACGTCTCCCTCCTCACCTCCTTCATGCCCGACAGCTTCCTGCGCCACGGAGGGGACCATGACTGCATCCTGGTGCTGCTGCTCATCCCTCGGCTCATCTGCAAGGTGGGATGGGCACCTCGGCTCCCGCCTGCCCGGGGCAGTTAGGCCTCGTCGAGAGCTTATGCTAATTCTTCCTTTGGAGCTTTGAGCTGGGGCTGGCTCCTGAGCGGGGCTGATGGGCCTTGGAGTGCCATCTTCAAACCCTCCATGCCGTCCAGGCTAGCCTGGGGTTGGTGGCTGTGCTGCGGCTCTCTGGGAAATACAGCTTTTCTTTCGGTCCTGGTTGAATTTGGGATTTTGAATGTTTGCTTGTTTGGGAACTTTTGAAATTGCCCGGGAGGAGGAGGAAGCGGGAGGAAGCGGGAGGAAGCAGGAGCCCCTGCTCGCTGGTGGAGGTGGGCAAGCGGATGGGGCACT